AGAACCTCGGCTGAAGTGCTGAGTACCTTTGAGGACTGGGCCTCTGTTTCCAGCGAACTGGAAAGATGTATTTGAGATTTGCCTGCATGACAAGACGAGGATGTCACCGTTCAGAAGGGCTGTCTTGGATGGAAATAGCAGTTGCTCCGATGATAGCTTCCCTTCACTCTTCCAGGTGTGTCTGCTCAGCTGACCAGCACTCGTCTCCGTCGGAACACCTCCGTGGGCACCCCGTTCTGGATGGCTCCAGAGGTTAGATTCATGTTTCAAAACATTTTGTCACTGGTATTTGAGCTGCCGCGTTCTGCATCTCTGCTCTTTCTTTGTCTTTCTTCCTGACCACTGGTCCTTTCACCAAATGAAATAGCAATGTCCTTTAAAAAACTGTTTTAAACCCTTTTTTCTTACATGTTTGCAAGGATTAAGTTAAAATGGTGTTTATTTTTGGAATTACAAGGTTAGAGCCAGAGAGTAAGATGCTGAATTGCTTACTAAAATGTTAAAGAGGAGAGAGTACTACCATTGATCCTTCCCAGCCTTCCAAGCTCTGAAACTATAGATATCTCATCTCCCCATGGATGGAAGGAGCCCAGGGTGGTATTGTGATACATTATAGCTTTTGGTTTTGAATTTCTATACCTGGGAAGTTTTTAATACTATATATTCATAGCTGACAGCAAGAAATGGAAGAGGTTATTATGAATAAATAAGATGTACGCTGTATCTTTGGAGATTTTTCCATCTTGAAGTTAAAGCATAAAAAGATACATTTTAAGCTGAGGCAGGAAAAATATTTAATTATAAATAAGCCTATGTACTTACACTATTTGTGCGCACACAAACACATGCATATACGCCTATTTATAGCATATGAAACTACTCTGTTTATACATATTGGTCTAGCCAGGTAGCTAACAGGATACACATTGGTTTAGACCTGTAGCTAATGAGCTAAAAAATTCTAGATTCATCCAGCATTGTGGATGAGCTGAAACATGTATGAAATTAAATACATTTTACATACTGTAATCCAGTGGCAAATGCAGAGAAATTAGCTTGATCTTGAAATTGGCTGATTTGGCTGAATAAGGACCCAGTAGGAGACAGTGAATCCAACTCCTGCTTCCCTGCTCGTTTCACTTCATAGACAGAGCAGTATAGCTCCATTAGTTATTCTGCAGGAATAATCTATAGGGAAGAGGTTTAGGGTTGTTGAGCTTCTTTCTACTTCCCTCATCCATGGGATGCAGTCTACCCCTTCAGCTGGAAAAGCCAAGGATTTGCACCCTCTTGTCAGATCAGGGAACATCTGGTCAGAGAACCTGGTGTTCAGACACACCTGCTTTCTCTAGGTTAAGTATTGCTTTTTTTCAGCAACAAGATGCTTTAGCTTGCTAAATGTGTACAAGTCTGTTTATTTCACCCAGTATCTCCATCCTGTAAGAGATTCCCCCAACTGTGGGTGTACTCTTAAATTCGGACATTTGGCCATCCAATGACCAGTCTTTTACACCAACAGGTGATTGCTTGTGAGCAGCAGCTAGATAGCTCCTATGATGCCAGATGTGATGCATGGTCACTGGGTATTACTGCAATAGAATTGGGAGATGGAGATCCACCCCTTGCTGATTTGCACCCTATGAGGGCACTCTTCAAAATACCAAGGTAATATCTTGATGTGTTTATTTCTTGCTGGGTTAGGCTAACTTTTTCCTTAAATGTTACTTTCTTCAAACTTAGCCTGTATAAGTATGTGGTGTTTCTGCTATTATTTATACTAGGAGGAGGTTAGAAATCATAGAATCATAGAATCATTTAGGTTGGAAAAGACCTTTAAGATCATCATGTAAACCTAGCACTGCCAAGTCCACCACTAAACCATGTCTCTAAGCACCACATCTACACGTCTTTTAAATAACTCCAGGGATGGTCACTCAACCACTTTCCTGGGCAGCCTCTTCCAATGCTTGACAACCCTTTTGGTGAAGAAATTTTTCCTAATATCCAATCTAAACCTTCCCTGGTGCAACCTGAGGCCATTTCTTCTTGTCCTGCTTGTTACTTGTGAGAAGAGACTGACACCACCTTGCTACAGCCTCCTTTCAGGTAGTTGTAGAGGGCTGTAAGGTCTCCCCTCAGCCTCCTTTCCTCCAGGCTAAACAACCCCAGTTCCCTCAGCTGTTCCTCGTAGGACTTGTGCTCTAGACCCTTCACCAGCTTCGTTGCCCTTCTTTGGACACGCTCCTTCACGTCTTTCTTATGGTGAGGGGCCCAAAACTGAACACAGTATTGGAGGTGCGGCCTCACCAGTGCCGAGTACAGGAGGACAATCACTTCCCCACTCCTGCTGGCCACGCTGTTTCTGATACAGGCCAGGATGCTGTTGGCCTTCTTGGTGACCTCAGCACACTGCTGGCTCATGTTCAGCCAGCTGTCAACCAAAATACTTTATCCAGCTGTATTTTCTGCAGGCTCTGCTTCAACCATGTGCGTACATTGAGAAGTTCAGAGCTGACTGTGGCTACAGTGAGAAAAAGCCATAAGGCCTTCTCCTGTGTGGACTGCTGCCCAATATACATGAGCACAGGACTTAGCTGAGTCCTGTATATTCTGTTACAGAGAATGACTTATCATAGAAATAGAGAGTCGGAGTATGCCACTGTGGTGAACAGGCCCCATATCTCTCCTCAAGAGTTATCTCATGTCCTCTGAAGCAAAGTGTTGTTCCACCACTCACATACATTTAGGCTGCCACCTTTCATTAACTTGTGCTTCTCCTGGCAGTTCCAGTACTGCTGTCTTCAGACACGGCAAATAGCAACTTCTTTTGTGTTTTCTTTGAAGCTGGAGATGAAAGTACCAAAAGCGCCACTTACAGCGTTTCAAAGAACATCAATCTCAAAGTCTGTAGGGGATAATCATACAGCAGTTTGTGGATTTCACTCTAACAGTTGGAGCAATACCATAACAGTTGAGACCACATAGTATACATGAGTGCTTCAAGTCCTTTTCAGCCAAGTCACCCAAATTAGTTTAAATTACCTTCAGGTTTAAGAAACCTTGGCTGATATGGCACTGAAGCAGAGCATTAATGCTCTTCTCACCTTTACTTGTTATGGGAAAAGCAGTTACAAACTGCTGTGGTCAGTCATTTCAAAAAAAATCTGGCTTATACCCTTACAAATACCGGGCACCTTTCTGCCCTGGAGCAAATATAAGATCAATACCCTTTCATTCCATTAAGTCAAAGCTGAAAGTGATAGAGTAAACATTAAGCTGCACTTAAGGAAAAGCAGTTATGACAACTGAGTGAAAATAGAAAAGTCACCTCGTCCATAGGTGATTCCTTTTGTCTTCATGACTACACTCAGTGAAAATGGCACCTCTGTTTGAATGGAAGACAACTGTTAAAACAATTTGAACCAAGTAAATTAACACCTAGAATAAAGAGCTCTAACTCAACACAAATGAAAGTAGTAGTATTTATTTACAGTAGCTCTGTATTTAGTCCTTTACTTTACTTCTGATTATCTTCTGATGAATGAGAAGTAGTTAATAAAGAGCTAGTTCCTTCTGACACTTTGTTCAGACAGTCCTTCTGGGAAAACTTAAAATAGAATGTCTTTTTAAAAATTCTCTTAAGAAAGTATATTGTTTCAGGCTTGAAAAGAAAAACTTGCCATTACAAGTGGATAGTGATTAATGGGTTGTTGGTTTCATTTCCGTTTATTGATTTGATTGAAAAAATTATAGTGATTCTTAGCTTCGCTTGCCTGATCATCTTCATGCTATTTCTCCTTGTTAGTTATGTAAAGTAGGAGAACCAGTGAGGCATTGTATCATCTACCCATGCTCCTTTTACCAGTGGAAATCAATATCTGTTTTCAGTGGCCTTCTAAAACTCATTACTTAGCCTGCTTTCACACATTGTTTTTCTCAAGTGATTAGCTTATTAACTTATTATCATACTGACCTTTGCAGGAATCCTCCTCCAACCCTACAGCAGCCTGAACTGTGGTCACCTGAATTCAATGACTTCATTAACAAGTGAGTAACAACTGAGACCACTGTAGCTGAATATGGAACATGTGTAAATGTCATGTGTAAAATATCTTAGTATTCTCTCAGGAAATCTGTTGCTACTAATATTTTTCCTTAAAAACCTAATTTGTAAATCCAGTTTTACTTCAAAGTGAGGCTCCAGATTTAAAACATGAAATAACAACATTTTAACACACTTGATGTTTCTGTTTTTCTTAATTTAAAGAATATTTTGTTTTAAAATGCAATAATTTAACTTCTTGGACTCATCTATTCTTATCAATTTTCAGTACAGATCTGTTGCAATTAAGATGGATGTATTTATCATGGAGGTATGAATGAACTACAGACAAGTGTTTTAGAAGTTAACAGGGACCCCTCAGTGATCATATGCTTTTTCTGCCAGCACAGGTGCTTGACTAAAGATTATGAGAAGCGTCCGACAGTATCTAGTCTTTTGCAGCATGATTTTATTAAGCAAATCGAAGGAAAAGAAAACGTGCTACAAAGGCAGCTCATGGAATTTATTGATGTTCATCAACAAATGGGAGTCACTGAAAAGGCAAGGTAAAAGTAGCTAAAAAAATAGACCAGTTGGGACAATTTTGATACTTTCACTGTTTCAGAATGGCTAGCACTCACAGAAAGATTCACCTCTCATAACATTAGCTGGCCAAAAAATAGCTTAATCTTTGGGTTGCCCTATAGAGCTAATGGAAATAGAGGGGCATCATGATTCACACAGTAGATGAAACGATCTTTAGATTCTCCTGTGACTGAAGATGCAGATGAGGATCCCAGCTTTCAGAAAGCTAAGATTAGGTGAAATTAATCTTTGGCATTTTCTTACATGTGTGTGGTCAGCTAATGTTTAGTTTAAGCAAGTATGCTAAAAATAACTCGTCAGGTTCTTGCAAGAATTGGATGCTGCCAACTGAAAGAAGTGATAATGGTACCAGACACTGTTTTGCAAATTTCAAATCCTATGTCTTACTGAATACTTTCTTTCTTCCACTAATATTTAGTAATACCAATTCTGCATAAGTCACATAGCACCTGAAGGCTTTTATTTAAAACAGCTGAAAATGGCTTGGCTCAATTTTACAATTTAAAAAAACCTCACCCAGTACACTGAAGTAATGTATCAGATGTGAAATGTAGTAGAAGATTAGTATTGATGTACTACTAGTGCGACAATTTTTTTTTTTTTAAATGGAACATAAAATTTAAAAGCCATTTTGGCATTATCATCCATATGGAAAAAGCTTACTAAAATTTGCCACGTTTCCTTTCACACATATTTATAGTAACAATATATGCAGCAGTCTTCAGTTCTGATTTTCGAGAATTTTCTATTTACTCTAATCTTTGAAGATAATAATTAAAAATATATTTCTAAATAATTTCTGTTTTCTTGGACTTTGTGTAAGTGGATGTGGGATGAATAGTAGTTTCTCTTTTCTGGCATTTCAGTAAAAACCTATGCATTTGGCTTAAATTTAAGTCTCAGAATGGATTTGTATGTTCTATATGCTGCAAACTTGATATTTGCTATCAGATGTCAGTGCTGAGCACTAAAACAGCAACGTACTCCAGACTTTAAAAAGTCTTTATTTATAAAACACGGGGAAACAATATGTGGTAAAATATGTCCAAAACACTAAATAATATTAATTTAAATCCTGATAACACTTGTGACACTTTCAAAGCCTAAATAATTTTTGAAAATCAAGCTTGTAAGCCAATTAAGTATTGTGAGCTTTTTTACCCATCTTATAGAACTCATATGTTTTTTTCTATCAAGTCCTGTTCTTTTTTTCAAAATCATTTCATTTTTTCATGTAAATGTTGCATAAAGCAAATCACATGAACCTTGTTTTCTATACAATACAAACTTAAAGGAAGTGACCTAATTTCATGTGCATAGAGCAGTCAAATGGCACAGGAACAGGACAATCTATTGGCACTTTCTCTGTCTTGTTTAGACTGTTTTATTAACTGATCATTCTTCATATGAACCAGAGTTTAACGGAATGTATTACCACGTGATGAAGCTACCCATGCTTTTACAGTTAATCAAGTGTAACTTCTACATAAATGTTGCTGAAGAAAGTTGGAATATTCTCTCTTATAATAATAATAATAGATTATCTGAATCTGTGCAAAAAAAATTACTTAAATAAGGGTGTAATTTAAAAGGCATGTTCAAGCTAGTAGCTTGGTAAGTAGTGTCCATGTTTCAGTTTAGCAGTTTAAAATACTAACAAGTAGGCTGATACTAGTTTAAATTTCATTTGCATTGGTTTAACCAGGTCTTTTCATACCTGAGATCAGTGAAGGCAGACTGCAAGTAAAAATCACATTTTACAGTGACTGTACATGTAATCACTTCGTCTTTAACATGTTTATTAACTACATTTGCTGGAAGATTGTCTTTCATAGCAGTGAATGCATAAAAAGATTAGCATTCTCCTAGAAACAGTAATACCCATCTTAATATCTACTGCTATCTCTGTACAAGCAAGAAAAGCAGAGAATATTTTCTAGTAGCTGAAATTGTAGAAAAGTATGTACATCATTTCACTTTAGAAGAAATTAGAATTCCAGGCCTGTAAAGAACATTGCTACAGAATGACATTTGTTTTTTTCTTCTGTTGAATGATAAAAACATTATACAAAGATCTTTGAATTCAGTAGTCATACTTTTTTAAAGTCTTTAAATACTAATAATACGTATCTTCTGACCTTCAATCTGCAGCAAATGGTGTCAATAGAAACCTGTACAGAAGTACCATGTAAATCTGATTCAGAGTCAAGGCATAGGCTGTGTAGTGACAAGTCACCTGGAAGAGTCTCATCTTAAAATTTCCTGGCTTTCTTTTCTTGATTGTCTTATTCTGGGACTGTTTTTACACTGGGGTGTTAGGGCCCTGCTGTGGAATTCCTGAACTTTCAACAGTTGCTGGCTCCTTGTAAAGCTCCCTCCTGATCTCCAGCTCACACTCTCTCGGTCCATAATTTGAAGGTGTAGTTCTCCTGCTTGCTGTTACTGGGAGGCACATAGTTTAAGGGAATAAAGAATCCTTCCTTCCACCAAGGGAAGAAATCCTCCTACCTGTGTCATGTTGTGTAAATGGCTATGCCATACAAACTCGAGAAATTTGGTAATACTGACTTAAAGCTGAAAGTAAGGAACCTTGTTATGTTCTGAGTATGTGATTCCTCTCCTCTTCAAATTATACTTTGTTAATAAATATTTTGTATTTCAAAAGAAAAAAGTAAAATGTCTGGAAGTTAATAGCTGAGGTTTGGCCACTGGGACTTCCTGTGTGCACTGTTCTTGTGTTCACTCCATATCAAATCACCCTGTCTGCCCAGCGTGTTGAGGTGTAATATGGCTGACTGCCAAATTCTGCAGTGGTAGTCTTGTTGCAGTTGTGCTCTTGTCATCTTGTTTGCTGCGAGTGCTGTTGCTAAAGTTCAAAAAGAAAAGATCATGTTAGGTTATGTCACATTCTCAGAGGTTTTTGCAGAAGGCTAGGTCCTCAGATATAATCTTTGCGTACCATGTCTGCTCAGGAAGGGTGTGTGATCTCTAGGCACAGAGTGGAGCCACCCTACAGTCACTCCCATTATCACCATTGTTCCTGAGGTATTTTCTAGCATTCACGAGCCACTGAGTCATTAGGGCATTGCACTGAGCTCTCTGAACCTTCCCATTATTGCTATTCTAATGAAGAAGAACCTAGCTTTAGATCATTGTGCTGCATTCTTTCCAAACACCTAGCAAGAGAAACAGAGCCCACCAACCTCCTGAGTAACCAGAGAAATCTCAACTTACGGTGACAGAACTTTAAACAGCAATATGCCATAGATCTGCTCCAGACTTAATGAAGGTGGTGGAAGATTGGACTTTTTTTTCAGTAGCCTCTGAACAGTCTTTATAGCACAGACATGTCTTGTGCTACTCAAGGCTCAAAAAGCATGAAGCAATGAGCTTCATTAGATTCCACTTTTGACTTTGAGCAACTGCAGTATGTTTTTCTTTAAAGTCATCACTTTTTTATGCTAAAAAAAATCTGTTTACAACTTAATCTTTCCTAGCTCAGCTCTCACATTGGAGAAATTATGATGGGAAAAGCAATGAAAGAAAATGTCCCTTGATAGATTAATATTTTCCCATAGCATCTTGACTGAAATGTCTCTAAAATCTGGTTTTTGGAATGATGAAGTAAGCTTTGGCAAATAAATTCATATTAAGGAGGAGGTGAAGCAGGCCAAGTTGCATACTAAGTGTATTTAACTTGTGGCTTTGTTTAGCATTTGTGTACTCACTGAACTGTGAATTTCTGGTGAGCAGAGTCACTTTCAGGACAAGGTCTTGGGTTTCTGCAGGAGTTGTCTTTATCATGGCTGCAGCAAGAAAAGCCTATTTCATTGTATAAGGTGGTATTTGCCTCTTTTCAGAGTGGTTGATGACTCATAATCATGTTGATACTTCTTTTCCCTTAGTACTTTCAAACTGATGAACTTTCAACTAGTAGAAATAATTCTGTTACATCCTGCTAGTATGATCTTGAGGTTTTATACAAATAAATTTCATCCTGTATCTGTTACTCCAGTCCTTAGGACCACATTGCTCTTTAAATACAGTATTTCAATCCTTTTTTGTGTTGATAGTGACACAAAAAGCATGATAATGGAATTTATTGCACAAACCTTAATGAAAGTAAGACAAATGCTCTAATAGAGAAACAATAACTTCATTTGAGCCTGATCATTCACTTTTGGACACTACTTAAGTTTCTCCTCATTTTTAGCCGATCCCTCAATCACATTCTTGGAAGTCACATTATAGATGTTAAAATTTAGAATTAGTGACAACAGTAATTATTAGAAATGAGTGCTGCAGCATATACCCAAAAACTCTTCTAAAAATGCACTTCTTGCGAGGCTAAATGAGGGGAAAAAACTCCATTGTAAAGTGTTTTACTTTGCAACAGAAATAGCTGTCTTTGAAACGGCCTTCAGAACTGTCACATCTACACCTGACAGGCTTGTAAGACTTTTATCTTGAGTTGTTTGACTGTCTTAATTTTGACTGCTTTTACAAAAGTCTGCAGAAATATGCAATGATTAGTACAATGTGTATTTCCTGGGAATTATGACTCATTCCAGAATGAGCTGCGCACCTAGATTTCAGCAACTGACTCTGGTCCCCAAGAGCCTCATCTTTATATGCCCTCTACATAAATATGGGAGAGAGACCCATTCTACTGCAAAGTGATTCAGAGCACGGGCTTTTGGGTGAGCTGAATTACTCTCCTAAGATTTTGTCCTTCTGTATTGGCAATGTAGGGATAGCACTGAAATCCAGTGACAGGGTCCTAAACAGATGCTCTGTTTAACTACTTGGACAGTTCAGGTAGAAGTTCGTAGAAGCTCATGTACAACATGCACAAAGGTGGTTGTTAAATTATTCACACCTATTAAAAGCAGGGAGTACCATATAGTTTCCTTCCATGACTTTCCCTGATTGCGCAGACTTGTGTCACATTTTCTGGGTG